ATAGTTGATAGATTAACTGTTTGCACTTCCCATGGCCTCAATTTTCTACTGTCACTCTACCAAAATAAATGACTCCTAACACGCTATGGGGAGCTCTGGTAGCATAGCGGCTAAGACACTTGCCTGCTAACCAGACGGCTGGCGGTTCAAACCCACCAGCCACTCCTCAGAAGGAAGGTTGGGCAATCCTACTTGCGTAGTGATACTGCCTCGGAAACCCAAGGAGGGGTCGCTATGAGTCGGGGCTGACTCGACGGCACATAACAACAACAACAACACAGCTATAGGGAGTTCTGGTAGAGCAGTGGTTAAAGAATTTGGCTGCTAACCAAAAGGTTCACAGTTCAAATCCACCAGCCACTTGGTGGAAGAAAGATGAGGCAGTCTGTTTCCGTTAAGATTTATAGCCTTGGAAACCCTATGGGGCAGTTTTACTCTGTCCTACCAGGTCACGATGAGTCAGAATTGACTCCATGATGGTGGTTTTTTTGTTTTTTTAATATGGCTGTATTTTGTATCAGCTGGCATATTTTTATCTAGGCATTTTCTGAATATAGTTATCTTCCTGGTTGAGATATGCAAGAACCGACTTCCCTCTATGCTAGACAGTCTTTAAATAGCTGTGCTTTTCCATCTGACCATTTTGCTTTCAAACAGTATTAATCAAATGTAAAACTGAAATATGGTTAATCATGAAATATACTGTATTCTAATATGTGATATACTGATTATCTATTCAACTCTACTTTATTTAAATATAGATATAGATCAATCCACCAAATTGATTTCACAGCCCTCTAATGGGTCAAAATCTAGCTTAAGGAAGACAAGGGAGGAGGAATCAATGATGTAAATATTTCCGATAATAATCTGTAAATAATCTGTGTTTTAGTCTCAGCTCTGCCAGTAGCTAACTGGAGGAACTTACATTAAGTCATTTCACCCCTGAACTTAAATCCTTCAACAATGAGATGTTGTTGTTGTTGTTGTTGTTATGTGCCATTGAGTCAGCCCTGACTCATAGCGACCCCTCCTTGGGTTTCCAAGGCAGCATCACTACAGAACTGGATTGCCCCATCTTCCTTCTGAGGAGTGGCTGGTGGGTTTCAACTGCCAGCCGTCTGGCTAGCAGTCCAGTGCCTTAGGCACTATGCTACCAGAGCTCCTTAACAATGAGATAAGGGAGCTTAAATAGCCATAGGCAGGTCAAGTATGCAGTCAACAGCTTACTGCTCTCCCATTGCCTCTTCATACCAATCTGACTTCCTCCCTCTTGTACCTTGGTGCTTCTGAGTCCAATGACACTGAGAATTTGGATCTTCATGACACTGTTTCCATGCAGATTGGCAGATCACAAAGTTATGCCATGGCCAAAGTGTGCCTCAAAATTTTATTTTTTTTAAGCTTTTCCTTTGCTTCTGACACTCAGACCTCCTCTCTTTATTTTCCAGCCTGTGGTCTTCTGGAGAACTAAAACTGCTGGATTAGTAGTAAGATAATTGAGGAATCAGTACACCAAGATGTGAAGTTTTACTACGGGACCAAAATAATTGGAGTTAAGAGGAATCAAGGATCTGAAATCATTATCAACTTTAATTTTCTACTTTAAGTTCAATTGAGATAAATACTTGAAGAAATGAGGTAATTGTTTAGTTTTAAAGCTTTTCATCAAAATACAAGGCAGACTACATCATTATGCTTACATCAAAGTATTTTATGGTTTTATAAATAGAAGATATTGTTTATGGGTTAAATAATTGTTCAGAGGAAAAAAAAAAAAAAGACCTAAGAGACCTAATTGATTTTTCATTAGCCTGCTTTTTGTCAGAGTAAATATTGGCTCTACTATTTATTATTTTCCTGGTACACATAATTCTTGAGCCAAGGCTGTTAATAAAAGGCAAATTTATTCTAAAGTTATTCTAAAGTTTTATTAGAAAAGAGAGAATCACATGAAAGAACTTCTAAAATGTTCAATGATTAATCTCTATTTGTGAACTTTCTTTCCTGAAGACATGAGATTTTAGCAAAAAGTATTATTCTAAATAAATTACCAATTATCAATTTTGTTGAACCCATTAGGAAGAAATCATAGAACAAATGCACACACACACACACAAAAAAAAAACTGTAGGTGATACACTTCACAGTAACTTGTTCCTTAACACTGCTTCTTTAATAATGATGCAATTGTTACAGGGAAAGGCGGAACTAAACATACAGAAAAGCAAAGATTTCCTAGATACGTCCAATGAGAGAAAAGTGTGAAAAATTTGATACATATGTTGATGTGTTCTTACACGCATAGAGGACGGCCCTGAAGGATCTATGAAGAGTTCACACAGCTAACTCTTTAAAAGAGTGGTAGAAATGTGTGGGACAAAAGGCAGAACTTTCATTTATGACTTTATACCCACACTTCAATGTTTTGTTTTACAATGAAAATGTAAAACTTTTATTTTTAGATACTTTAAGAATAATCAAGTATTATACATCTACCCCAGTTGTTTCTTAATAGACATAGGAAATAAAAATAAGTTGCCATCCTGCAAACATCATCAATTCAGTGAAAAGCATTCCAACTATTTGTGAGACCACAGGACAGAGACATGAACAGTGCTCAGTGATAACTAAACCTCAGAACGCTTTGTAAGCATCAGCAAGTTAAACTTAGAAAATTAAAACTCTGTTGAGTATTGTTTCATCAAATGGGGAAATATTACAATACAAAAATATCTTAATACATAAAATGTTTGATAAAAAGCTTTTTGTAAATCAATTGATTCATACACACACACACACACACACATATTTTTAAATCTATCACACTAAAAGTAATGATCTCTGCCTGTTTTTCCACCTGGTAATTCTAATCCTAGGTTCACTTAGAGGAAGAGACTCTATAAATAGTATGCCATTTGTCTATAGAAACATTTGTAAAGCACCAGGGCATTGATTATTTCATGTATTCACCTAAATACTTGGTAAGTGAAATTAATTGAATCTGCTACAATTTAGACTGCATCAACCCATCTGAAGGGATAATTTGCTAAACCCAGTAAGTGATTTTAAAAAGTTAGTCACTTCAATATTATTCTGACTAATTAACTACAAAAGGAAAGCCTACATATCAAAATACTAGCAATTGTTGGATAATTAAATATAGTAGAAATCCATTCAAAAGAAGTACTGAAATTATATTAGCTACCTATGCACTAACACCACCAGTCTAAAACATTTATAAAATAGTAACAGAAGTATCATAATAAAGAAAACATGTTAATATTTTTAAAGTAGAGGGGTGCCCTATATCCCTCATCAAAAATAAAAACAAGTTTCTTTCCACAGTTTAAGTATCTGTTTTACAAGAAGGCCAAGTAGTAATGAAACCTATTAAAAATAATTTGAAAGTGTCATAAGGGTTTATAGGTAGGGACAGACAATGTATGAAAGAGCATGAGACTACTTTCCAGTACATATTCAGGCTTAGCCTGAGATAACAGTATAGCCTGGACTTTACAAAAGTAAAGGAGTAGCTTCTAAAGAATGGCTTAAGGTTTCAGGAAATGGCACTTGTTTGATATTTATAACTTGAGCTATCTACATAGCTGTCAAAAAGTGAAGCACTAAGGAAGATGGTGAACATGTCTTTGAAAAGCTTATGTAGCTCCACATATCTTGATTCTCCAACTCAAACCAATTCTTTAACACATTTTACAGTTGCTGTTTCACATAAAAGAAAGTTAAGGGAAAAGGAACATTGTAGTCCCCAATAAGAAACTCTAGAGGTTATCCATCTCCCATTCTCTCCCTTGCAGTTATGCAACAACAGGGATGCAAAGAAGGTGAGGAAAGCCCTTCTTAGTAAATTATAAACGGACCTAAAATAAAAAGATAAAAGAAGGACTACAATTCTTCATGTCACTGCTAGGTAGATAAGAATGCTCTTAATTTTCCCCACATGAAACCAAATTCTACTACCCCCTTGTCTGAAGTTTCCACTTTTCTAACCGTATTCCACTACATTTATTAGCTGAGGAGGACATACAACCCCACCAAAAGAAATGGATCATTAAGTGACTATTAGTCCTTAAGTAAGGTGTGTGTGTGTGGGGGCGGGGGGGATACTCCAGTTTCATTCATGAAAAGAGCTAACTAGATTTCAACTGAATAAACGCAGCTAGCCTCAAATTTTCTGATAACCAACCTAAAAAGTTTCTCTACTCTCGCCTTTCTCCAGTATCAAGCTTAATTTTAAAATTAAATTAAAGCGCCTAGGTTCCTAGCTTCAAATACTTCACTCCGTTTTCTAAAATACCCTCATTTTTCACACCATTACTTGATAAGAAAATAGGAAAGCCAGAGATCAGTACATTAACCGAAAAAAAAAAAAAAAACTCTGTCTCGGAAATTACAAGCTATCAATGGAAATGTAGCGAATGAAGACATATAACTGCAAAACTCAACCTGCAAGAACAAATTTCTCTAAGGAGCGACTGATACATCACTCAGCGGTTTCGGATGCGGACGGGTGGAGGGACAGTGCGCAAATCCTGCCCAGTATTTGTTTGGAAGGAAAGAGCATAACTGTCGCAAACAGAGGCCAATCCCTACCCATCCCCCTCCTCCTCCCAAAAAAAAATGTCTAGGGGGGGAGGAGAAAAAAAAAATAAGCAACAAAACAAGATGACATGGATTTTGCAATTAATTCTAAAGAGCCTGGGATCCAATCAAGTCAGCAAGGAGGAGACCACAAGGCAGGTGAAGGTAACCAGTTCACGACTGCCAGGTCAGCCCGAGCTATGAGGAAACAGGTTCCCGCCCATGAAAAGTCTCATATCATCGCCCAGCTCGACACCTGCTACGCCACCAGGTCCAGGGGCCGCAGGGAGTCACCGGACAGCTGACAGGGCCGACCCACAACTCAGGACACCCCGCCCACCGTCCCCGGTGGCTTTCGAGGCGAGGGTCTTAGGGGAAGGAGCGGAGCTCTGCAATACCAGGTGTAGTCGTCCTCGTCCCGCCAGGGCGCTAAGCTCTCCAGGTCCAGCAGTTCCACCTCATCCAGCAGTGTCGGGAGCGGCGAGGGCGGCGTGGCGGCTACCCCCGGCGGCGTCCCTGCGCCCCCGAGCTCCGGCCCACTGCCGCCCCCGCTGAAGAATCCCGCCGCGGGCTTGAAGTAGACGAAGGGCGCCTCGGGGGGCTGCGCCAGGCTGCAGAGCAAGGAGGCCGCCGGGCTAGGCAGGCAGTAGGTTCCTGGAAACGAGGGGCTTGAGCCGCCACTGCTGCAGGTCCCGCCGCCGCCTCCCCCGGCGCCCACTAGCCCCAGCTCCAGGCCCCCAGAGGCAGAGGTGACGGCCGGTGGGCTCCTCGGACCCAGCGGGCTGCAGGCCCCAGCAGGGGGCGGCGCGGCGGGAGGCGGCGGCGGCAGCAGCAGCAGGTGCGGGGCGGCGGCCGCACTAGCCGCCCGGCTCCGCAGCTGCTCGTTCTGCTTCTCCAGCTTGCGCACCAGCTCCTGCAACTTCTTCACCTCCAGCTCCGCGTTCACCACCGGCCCGGAGCCCGCTCCGGAACCGGCCGCCGCCGAGGCGCATTTCACCTGCTCCGCCATCATCGTGGGCCCCGGGAGCACCGCCGCCGCCCGGGATTGCACGCCAGTACACCGGCTGCTCAGGCCGAGGGGAGGCTAGGGCTCCTTCCCTGCCGCGCCAGCCGGGGCAGTAGGCTCGCTGGGGCTGAGGCAGCGCCGGCTGTCCACATCAGCACCAGTCTCCAGCCTCCGACCCAAGCTGCCGCCGCCAAGCTGCTCTGCACATGCTCAGTGCGTCCCTCCGGTCCCCTGGGCGCCTCGGCGGTTCCGGGTTTTAGTCGCAGCCCCAAGGCGGGACGGGGCGGGACGGGGCGGGGCGTCTAGTGGGAGGGGCCGGAGGCTGGAGGACTAGCCCCGGGCTAGATGCTTTACGGACGCGGGGTAGCCCGGGAGAGGGTATTGGACAGCTGTAGCTACCCAGGATACTTAATCCCAGGTGCATGATTGGCTCTGGCCTAAATTTTTCCACCACAGCACTTCCTCCCACCGCTGTGCTGCTACCCTCAAGTGTTTTAGAGCCTGGGGGCGGGTTCTAAAGCAGCTGCTACAGGTCGGTGTCCCAGAGGACCTCGCGCACTATGGTTTCCAAAAGCATTGTTATGCTTAACGACGTTCTGTACTAACCAACCATTACCTATTAAAACCTATAGAAAACTAGAAGGCTAGGGAGCGTTATTCTAAAAACGGAAAAACAGACACGTGGAATAGAAAGTGAGATGGTGATATCCACTAATTGGTAACAGAAACAAAATGGTGAGACAAAGGAGGCTGAGGAGCAGGAAGAAAATTGAGCCTGACAGAATGAGAGGGAGAGTAGATCTGCTAAGAGCCAAGTTTTCATTTCAATTTATTCTAAAATAATCAAATTAAGGTCAGATTTCGTAACAAATCAGATGACCCCAGGGCTCTGCCCCAGGCCAGTACCCTCTCATCTCACCTGCAATCCTGCTGTTTCTTTCTTTTATCTTGTGTCTTCTAATTTCTATTATTATTAAAAATAATAAACAAAAGTCTTTTGAAGAGAAGAATGAAGCATTATTCAATTAATTGTGATTTACCATTTTGACTGTTTAACGAGCTCAGAGAAAAGCTTGAGATTTTATTATGAGAAAAGTCCATACAATTGTTTCTCATCCCCCAGATGATATCCCATCTAGTTAAGGTCCTTGCTCGGGGCTTTGCATGTTGATCTTTGTGTCCATGTACTTTCATCGCTCTGCTGCACCTAGCGCGCTGTGTCTATTGTGCTATGGCTCCGTGCCTTCCTGCAGAAAAACACTGCCTTCTTAGTTGTCGATTAGTTATATCTAGTTTCTGTGTGCAGAATGGGTGTTCTCCACTTAACTTCTTTGGTGAGAGCTTTCATAAATCAGGTAAATATCTGTGATGACTACCCTGAACTCTCCCTGCCTCGAGTTCCAGCTTGCTAGCCCATCACCTAACCACCTGTATCACCCATCACCTTTCCAACTTTTGGTCTACCTTCTGGAGATTCTGGTTATTACTAAAACATGGAGAAGTGGAATATTATTACCGAGAGTCCTAAATAAAGAATCTATTGAAGGGTTTTTCCGCATGCTCAGTGGCAGATGCGGGTAGCAGTATCTCTGCAACACAAAGAAAGGAAGACTACGGACACAATGAGAACAAAGAGCTGCTGGGTTCCACATTAGCAAAAGAAATTGGAAATAGGCACATAGTCATGAAGACAGAAAGAACTAAGATGTAGAGAAAAGCAGTTATTTTACTGCAAAATTTATAGACTCTGAAGGAGAGAAATGAACAGGCTGCTCCTCCCCCATTTTCCCAGTAAGATCTACAGAATACATTCAAGTAACCAGTAGTCAAGCTGTGTTTTCTAAGTAACAAATATTACAAAATCGTTGTTGCTTAGAAAGCATTCCTTGGAATTTAGAAATAGAAAAAAAAGGTGAAACACTGTTTTCAATTTCTATTCTTTATTGTCTTCTGAAAAGACACATTTGACCTCTTTCTAGCTATTTTAAAAGTGTGAAATGATTTATGGATAGAGAATTTTAAAATAATTTCTTTCCATTCTCTTAAACCACTTCTTTTTTTCCCCTGTGAAGTACAAATGTGCACACACTAAGACACTCAGAAAGAACAAAGATTTTAAGTTGGTATCCCCAGGATGTCAGTTTCTTAAACACAAATAGTTAGAGTTTTATGGTGTCAAGGTTATAATTAAGCAGTCTTGATTTTTTATTTTGATGCAAATTTGTAAGCTTTTGTGTTTTGAGAGAAATTGAATGCTCATTTGCTCAATTTTTCAATATGTATTATTACATTTTAAATGACTGACATATATAAGGTGACTTTAGAAGTTTACAATGAAGATATGAAAAATGAAAATGTATGTCTTTGAAAATTTTATGCTGTAAAGATGCATTTGAAACACCATACACTGATGAGAGACATCCATAGATCTCACATTCAAAACTGGATTAAGAAATATGTATTTCTAGTAAATTTTAAGAGGGATATAAACTTATTTTAATTTGTATTTTTCACATAAAATCTCTCTAATAGAATCTACCAAAAAAAAAAAAAAAAAAAAAAAAAAAAAAAACCCAAACCCACTTCCATCAAGTTGATTCTGACTTTACAGCAACCCCAACTGAGTTTCGGAGGCAGTATCCTTACAAAAGTAGATTGCCCAGTCTTCCTTCTAAAGAGTGGCTGGTGGGTTTGAACCACTAGCCTTCTAGTTAGCAGTCAAATGCCCTAGGCACTACACCACCATAGCTCCTAATAGAATCTACAGACATCAAATTTATCTACCAAGAGAATTTCAAAAGCAATATAGTTTCTTGAATATATAAATCTAATTTCCCAAGGAAATCTAGTAGAGTCTGTGGTTGCTGTTTTTAGTTGTCATTGAGTTGGTTGCTACTCATGGTTACCCCATGTGCAACAAAATGAAAGGTTGCCTGGTCCTGCACCATCCTATCAATTGCAGTTATGCTTGACTCCATGGTTGTGACCACTGTGTATTTTGAGTGCCTTTCAACCTAGGAGGTTCTTCCAACAGTATATATACTGTTGCGATATTCTGTTGCAATCCATCGGTCATTCATTGGCTAATTTTTTGAAGTTGATCACCTGGCCGTTTTTCTTAATCTTAGTCTGGAAACTTCATTGAACCTATCTGTGATGAGTCACGCTGCTGGTATTTGAAATATCAATGGCATCATAGCAGCACACAAAAGCCACCACAGTACAACAAAGTGACAAGACAGGTGGGGATATATCCTGTTACTATCCCAGTTTTATAGAAGATCTGACGAAAGTTAGGTCTCTTGCCCAAGGTCAGTCATGACCCAGCAGTTTCTAGTGGCCCAGTCATTTTTCTCCTTACCCCTTGATCTCGGAGGAAAATTCCTTTACCTTTTACAAGTAAGAACCAAATGTTTTAAATGTAGATTTTCAACAAATGCAGCCTACATCCCCTACAATAAGTGCTAGATTCACTCAACTTGATAGATCCAATCAAGAGGAGAAAATCACCTAATGTGCTGAACTAAGGTCAAAGATCTGACCTATGTTTTCAAGTTGAGTTGGACTACAGTGTTTAACAAATCAAGGAGCCCTCGTATCACAGTGGTTAAGCCCTCATCTGCTAACCATAGATCGACAGTTGGAACCCACTAGCCACTCCATGAGAGAAAGATGTGAGTCTGCTTCCATAAAGACTTAGGAATCCTATGAGGCAGTTCAAGGAGCTCTGGTAGTGTTTTGCCTAAGACATTTGACTGCTAACCAGAAGGTTGGCAGTTCAAATCCACAAGCCACTCCGTGGAAGAAAAACTGGGCAATCTACTTCCATAAAGATTTACTGCCTTGGAAACCCAAAGGGGATTGCTATGAGTCAGAATGAACTCGATGGCCGTGAGTTTGGTTTTTGGTTTTTGGTTATGGAGCAGTTCTCCCCTGTCCTATAGGGTTGCAATGAGTTGGAATCAACAAAAGTAGGTTGGGTTTAACTGATCATTTTATTTCTAACTAGAAATTCCTGTTTATCTACACACTACAGACCTTTTGAAGAAGCCCTGGTGACACAGTGGTTAAGCACTTGGCTGCTTACCAAAAGGTTGATGGTTCAAACTCCCCAGCAGCTCTGTAGGAAAAAAGACCTGGCAATCTACTCCCATAAAGATTATGGGAAACCCTGTGGGGCAGTTCTACTCTGTCCTATGGGGTTTGTACAAGTTGAAATCAACTCCATGGAACACAACAAAGACGACATATATGGTTGAGTACTCTTGGTCTCTACTGCTATGTGCGGTATCTATGACAGTATCTAGCATGTATTTTTTTTAAAAAATGAAATGTTTAATCTTTTAATGAATAAATGAACCTCCAAATTCAAGCTAGAATGTACACAAGAACCTAATTAGTTACTTCCATAAGCCTCATTTGTCATAGGGTAACAAAAGGGGAAGATTAGAAAGCTTTCTTTTGTTTGTTTTTGCAGACCCATAATAATCAATTATCTTATGTCTGATCCAATTGAAGACAAGAAAAATACTTGAACATCTGATGTATTATATTTAATAAGTGGGAACAAAAATACATGAAGCCAAAATTTATGCAAACAATCCTTTTATGGGTTGCCCTAATCTAACCCCACCCAACTCTACTATTTATGATCATGCCAACAGCCACTGTAATCATATGCTATACAATCACATATAGTAATAGTTATAATAACAGAAATAGCAATGATAATAATTATTTGGCAAGGTGCACATGTCAGAGCCCGTTTTAATAAATACTCATTACATGTCTATTATGTTCAAGTCACAGGGCAAGATGATTTTAAAAAAGTGAGTAAGACAATGTCTCTGCCACCTTATCTAGTTGGAAGAAGTACACAGTATAAGGTTATAGAAGTTAACTCCACTTATAAGAGTTTGCATAATCATCATGATAACAAATATACAAACTAATCATATGAATACCTATGTTCATTGCGGCACTATTCACAATAGCAAAATGGAAACAACTAAGTGCCTGTCAATGGAAGAATAGACAAATTGTAGTAAATACATACAA